ATTATTGATGACCGTCAATTTCCACCAGCCTTTTTTACATGGTTTCTATTGTTTTAGACTCATACTTTCTGGTTTGAGGATACCTGTTCTACCCAGTAAACTCTTAATTTTGTCACAATCATTTTTTTCTTATGTTTGCTTGTGGGGATGATAATACACCGGCCTGGGTCACTGGACTCACTTGTGAGCATGAGCAGTATAGAGGTCCCTTCGACGCAAAACAAGGAGCCAAATACTGGCTCTGCTGTTAGCCTGCACTACACCGTTCTAAAGATCAGTGGTGAAACTAGAAGACACAAGAAGAAACTATATCCTAGATGAGGCTGAACCTTGGTCAGGCCACTAACCAGCAGAAACCGGGATTCCTGGTTTGATTCCTGGCCATGATTGAATCCCGATTGAAACCGGGATTCAATCATGGCCTCCTAATAATCCCCCTCTATGAATTGGCTATATTACTCTGCTCTCCTCCCCACTGATAGCTGATGTGTGGTGAGCGTTCTGGTGCACTATGACTGCTGTCGCATCATCCAGGTGGATGCTGCACATTGGTGGTGGTGGAGGGGAGTCCCCATTACCTGTAAAGCGCTTTGAGTGGAGTGTCCAGAAAAGCGCTATATAAGTGTAAGCAATTATTAATATTATTATTATTCCCCAGATGGGAAAACTGGCAGCACACCAAAAAATTGGCAGTATCAAACACTTTTTGGGAATGCCTGTGTGTCTTTGTAAATACTGCATTTATAATGTAAAACTGTCATCTGTTTTTACATTCATTTCCATTTACAGTTTAGCCAGTGGCACCTCAGTCTCTTGTAATTGTACTCTGAATCAGAACAGCAAGGAAAACCAGTTTAAAAACTGTCCAATCAGAAACACTCATTCACACAGAGGGTATAACAAATAAGAACCATTCCCATTTTATTTTCAGCTTGTGATTTATTGTTTTCATCTTTAAACTGAGCAAGACAGAAGAGTTTTCCTAATGGGATACATCGGTTGCATACTATCTCACTCCACTTTTGCTTATAATGCACATAGTGAAAATTAACTCACAGGATACTACAATCCAATAGAGTTTGGAACCTGCAGACAGACTTTAGAGGTTATTACCGAAGCACTGGCTGCAACTGGATTCTTAGGGAGAGCAGAACCTGCCGTAGAACAGGATGTGTTGGGATTTGTTATGTCTGATGAAAAACAGGAAGGGGTGATCGGCTGTGAAGTGGGGAATGATCCTGGCACACTCCAACACCATGACAGCTGCAGTAGCTGCAGCAGCCTCAGTGCCCTCCTCGTTAACCTCCACGAAGGACTTGTGCACCACCTTGGACAGAAACAGCTCAGAACCGGAGGACATCCCAGAGAAATCAGACCTTGTGCTGTCAAAGGCATCTACCATGCCCATGCTCTTCAGAACCTCCTTGAGATCATAGGTCTCCTCGAATTTGAGCTTTGGCAGCGACACCTCTACTTCTTCAACGTCCATCATCTCAGGCTTTGTCCATTCCATCAGCTTCCCATAAGTGAGCTCCCTTTCCAGCTTCAAAGAAAGAACACCAGACTGTGTTAAAATTAGAATAACGCAATTTTACAAGAACCTCAAAGCCCTGCACAACAATACACACAATACCCAACAGAGGCAGAAAGTGAAAACAAAATGAAGTACAGCATTCTTAGTGAAAAAGAGCGAGCAGGGCTATGTTGGACAAACACTTGAGCACAAAAGTCTTTAAAGCAAGGTGTGAAACATGCATCAATTAAACAATTCCATTAGGTACACTGTTAAGCAGAATTTATTAATTTACCTTCCTGCAATCTAATAAAAAATAGGATATTTATACAGTTTGTGCAAATTGGCTACCAGGGATGCAAAGGCATAGAATCAGTTTGCTGTGGCTTCATCTATGAGCTCATTAAATTCTTCTTAAAAAAAAACACTCTTATCCCTCACTCTTCATCCACATTTCAGTCTCTTTCTTTTTTGAAGTCCTTGGCCTACATGATGCAAAAAAATACTGATCTAAAACATTAACCATTTATTTCACAAACTAAGAACTGTTCCTAGAGAACATGAGTAACAAAGTAATGGAGTTTGACTACTGGTACTTAGTCATGTATGAGCAACTGGCTACAACGTGAATTCTCTCTGGAGTGAGGTGATGCTTTCCTGAAATACCACTGTAAATACAAAACATTTCAGACTGCTAATTTCTTCATCTTTGAATCAAGTTTCCATCTAAAATGGCCTTTTCAGTTGTGTCCGTCTATCCCACAATGCCTCACCTTTTCCAGTCCTGTGGAGTCGTCTTCAATGGCACTGGGCAGCATGATGAGCATGCTTAACTCTTTTCCTAGGTATGGAAGCTCCAGGATCTGACAGCTGACCTCGGGGATGAATGTGAGCCCAAACTTGGCCTTCAGATACATCATCTGCACGGGCTTGGTCTCATTCTGTAAAGGTTCAGAGCAAAAAGAAGCCATTGTTAATCCCCTCTCACATGGTCTGATGGTGGATATGTTTTTTACACTATATGTTCAATTCCTAATTTTAAATGTAAAATTCTTATATTCTTGATTGGATTTGAAAATGTCAAATTGAACAGATTAACAATTTAATTGAATCAAACAAATTAATCTTCAGATTCTTAATTGCTAGTAGAAATATACTGTAAATCCATAAAAATGACAAATCTAAAAAAATTGTATATTTTTTACATTATATTCAACTATAAGTTGAAAATGTATTTCAAACTCAGCTGAGTAAACAATTCTTTGAATAATTCAGTTAAGATATAAAATTAATTCAGAACATTAGTGCCTCTAATGTTCTATGTCTGCTTTCGATCATTGAGCTTGGCTTGTGGTCTTTGACCGTTACTGCTATGCTCACTGTGGGGATTTTGGGTAATCTCCAAAATGTTTTCTTTTCTCAACGAATGGGGAACTTGTTACCTTGTTCAAATGAAATGGTGCTTCTCTTGTTGCAGCCTCATTAAATTTTTTCTCCCAGTCTCCTTTGAAATAGATGGCGTTCACCAACACAAGCCTGGTCATGGTGTCAATAGTTCCCTCAGCCAGCAGGTCCTTGATTTTTTCTAGAGTAAAAACAAATATCAAGACAATAAGCAGTAGATAAATACAGCGTGGCTGTAAAACCTCACTTTAGTGGAAAAGCACAAATGAAAAATGAGCACTGACCAAGTGTGGAGGTGAACCGACAGCAAAACACTGGAAGAGTTGCCCGGACAGGGCTGTACCTAACCACTGCAGAGCTCCCAGTATGTAACCAGTGCAGACACCAACTTGTGCCACAGATAAATCATAACCAACAGGTGGGGGAGATTAAACCACAACATCTCCACAATGTTAGTTAAACATGAGTGGCCTGTGCAGTAAAAAAGGGTTCTTTCTTGGTAACATGGTGGACGCCCCCCTGTGGAATGCTGGGTTGACAGACGTTATGATCCTCGTGTACAATATGAAGTGCTGTCCTTTTTATTGATGATGTGATTGATGCTGCCCTGGTAAGAGTTGTTCTATTTTTAATACAGAACTTGTTTTGAGGACCAATGCATTGCATGTTTGTATAGAACATGATCAGTATTTCATGTTTGCATTCTGTGAAATACTCAATCAATTCTACCGCAGCTTAACTAGATCCGAGTGAAACATTCATGAACCAGGCTATCAGTTAAACAGAATTTCATAGTTGTACCGTATACTCCACACCCCTGAACCAACTAAGGATGAACTTTTATTTGATTTTAAAGACGTACTCTATATTTGAAGTAAATAAATACAACTGTAAAAGAATGCAGAAACTAAATTAACACGCACTAAGAAAAGAGATCAGAAAATTCATTCAAGTCACAGTTACAAAGATTGTATTATATCTACTGTTAAGAAGTTCATGATTTACAAAAGTCAAAAAGTTAAATGCCTTGTTTTTACTGCTTTCTCTGCGACCTTGGACCTGGTTAGTCAAGATTCACAGACTTACAGTATACATGTCTGCCTGTGTCCCACAGTGCACTTCCTGAATGTCCAATGTGACAAGGTTCGGACAGCAGTTCCACTACTGCTGCCTTGTATCTGACTGTACTGAACCTCCACTTTCTTTCAATCTTCTTATATTACCAAATATGTGGCACAGTGGTTCAATTCCAGACGTGAGGGACTATCTGCTTGGAGTTATATGTTTTCCCATGTTCTCATTGGGTTTCCTCTGGGTGCTCCCGTTTCCTCCCACAGTTCAAAGGCGTACTGGTAGGTTTATTGACTTCAAAGACTAATTGGTCCTGGTGAGTGGGCAGACGTCTTTGAGTTAGTGTCTGCCCTGCAATGGACTGGTGTCCCTTCCAGAGCGTACCCTGCCCTGTGTCTGTCGCATACTGATAGGCTGAGGTTTGGTTGAACCACAGAGAAAAGCCCAGCTTCTTCTAGGTTCCACAGGCACTTCTGTGGATTGAAGCACTAAATTATCACAGACTCAAGTGTACAAGAACACTGCTAAATCATCTTTCTTGAACAGGTCCTCTGGTTTCTAAATGTTTTACCTTGAGTCTGCTTCTCCACCCAGGCATTAATGTTCTGTCTGGCTGCCTCTGCTCCAGTAATAAAGTCAACCAACTCCAGCTCAGCATGGTAGTGCTTCCTGGTCTCTGCGATGTATTGCTACATTCACAAAACAGAGTGGGTGCTGACAAATCTTGCCAATATCACATCTAAGATGGCTCATATTTTCTTACATGTTTGAGATCATTTACAAAAAAGTTTAGAAGATTACAGTATGACAAGTTCAAGGTGTGCCACGCGCAATGCCGTATGCGCAGACATAAAAGGAAATGTTCACGCAAACATATTTTAAAGGAAGAAATAAAATACATTTTCTATTTCAGAGGGGAAAAAAAACAACTGTAACAAAAGTGTCTGTAAATTTGTCCATACATTATTCTCTAAAGGGTTTAAACATTTACAAATTGAATAAAGCTTACCTCCACAAAGTTGAATGATTTCTCCCCATACAGACGGTTGGCCATGCTCAGTTTATATGGGGCTCCTGCTTTGTTGAGTTCAGAGATCAATTTGCTGAATCCGACATGGAGGTCATCTTCAACTTCATGGAAGTGGAGGGTCTTGTTAGCGGCACAAAACAGAGATTTGTACTCTCAGATTTAGCGTGCAGCAGAAACATAGCATAGTTTTGTTACAGGTCACAATCAAGTTAATCTTACAAGTGGTAGTTTATAAAGTACCTGAACAGGGTGTGAATACATATTTCAAGAAATAAATTAAGAAATTAGGATGAACTCACTACAAAACCTTGGCCACTACTTAGCACAAGGAGTGTCCAATAAAAATAGGAGACAAACCCGTTGTCAAATTCTGTCAGACATATATATTCCTCATAAAATAGGATTAACAATATTACAGAGATAGCCAAAATGCCTATCCAAGACTGCACATATAAAGTAGGAATAATTATTTTTAAGTCCACTTTGCATGTTACTGGCAAAACAGTAAAACAGGATAAAATAGAACAGTTATATCTTTTTCATCCAAAGAAAGTAGTTAGTAATTTCTAGTTAGTGCGCAAAATTGTTCCACCAGTTAGTAGGCAAAGAAAAAGCATATCAATACCACAACATACCAAAAATTAGGCTATCCCAACCAAAACAAAAGTTTTTTTTAAAGGGGAAGGGAACGGCTATATTTCTGTTTTGGGGTTAGAAGCAGCATTGATGAATGCAAACCACAATAAAAGTAAAATGTACAATGGTAACTTGTAAAACCACCAATTTACATAACAAATAGACAACATTTCTAGATATGTGCAGCGCCAGATTCTGTGATTCAGGACTTCCAGTTATGTAAAGTGGCCCTATTAAATTGTAAATAAGCAGGCTTGGGAATACATCTCTTTAATTCAATATAAATTTTGCTCTCGACTTTAAGACGGTTCTGCCGATGTTTCCTCTGCAGCTCCCCTTAAAATAAAGTTCTGTTATGAAACACATCTTAAATTAGCAAAAAATGCAAAAGCTGAAACGGAGAAAGAATAACTCAACAATTTCTTTAAAAAGAAACCTACTTAATTTGAGATCAGCTTACAGTATTGATTTAACACATTTACAGTACTGGACTTTTAATTTTTCAGTTAAAAAACGTTTCACTGCAATAAGGTACATTTAAAAGTAAACAGATGTATCATGAACAAACCCTGAAAGCTACACATATTAATTGACGAAAACCTTGCAATCATTCACATGGTTCAGATTAATGAAGGTCGTCAATCCAGACCCCACAGCACTGATAGATACAACAGCAACCCTGGAGAGCTTACTGATGCAGCCATTCAAAACAAGTGGGGTACGCTGCGGTATAACGCGGTGGACGTGTCGCATCAAGACGCGATTTAGCGTGTCATACACGTCATACCGCAAATAACCATATGCAAATTCGAGATGTTAATAGTATCCGGAATCACCTTGTAAAACCGCCATGAGGAGCTAATAAAGCTTAACCTCTCATGTACAGCATTTGAGCTGTCGCCAGAAAACACCAGTTTCGAATTCCAATCACTGCTGAGGGACAATCTTTATTCAATTAAGAATTTAAGTTGTATACTCTTCAGACTTTTAAATTTAAACTGTGTATTACAGCATGTTAATCATCATACATTAAAAAGTTGGTATATTTTATGAAAGCAAGATTGCACAGTTGGGCAAAAGTACACAGCCTACCTTTATCATAAATATTTTAATTATGCAGAAATATTTTATGCATCAAGGTCTTTACCGAAGATATTACTAATAATGAAGGACCTTGGACAAGCTGTAAACTCAAAGTATTTCCCTGGTCCACATTCTTTGTAACTGTCTTTGTAAACAAAAAGACATTTTGTCAATGAAAAAATAAAGTAACACCACAGCACTTCGTTGATCCGATCACGCATTTGTTCCCAATCATAAGTAAGTCTTGAGAATCTCCGATTCACCATGCCTTTCACATGCTCATAAAAGATATTAATTTAGGAACATAAACATATTACTGTATGTAAACTGTACTGTATATGGCTGGTCTCGGTACTTTAAAGAAAAAATACATACCAGTCTTCCATTTCTCCCTAAACATTTGAAGCATCAAAGTCTTACATGTGGTTATTTCGGAAACGTTTTTACGTGCTCCTTCTGACCATATTACTGTATGTTTATATACTTTGTGAAAAGTGATCGTTTTAACCTTTTCCGCTAATATGCTCGTTATCAAAAGCATTTTAGAATTGGATTAATAGGGAATATAATATGGATTTGCATATCTAAATAAAATAATAACGATATAACTATATTAATGTACTGTTGCACAACCAGCAGTATAAGACTTTCAATTGATACAGTATGTGTATGGCTGTTTCAGTAGTTGTCCCATGACTTGCGTTGGTGGTGTGATAGCTTAAGTGACTGATTTATAACCCTGAGGTTGGTTGTTCAAACCCAGCTATCGCCATGAGTTTTCTTTTAACAAAGAAACATTTCTTTGAAAAACTAAAATAGCAAATATTATTGGCATTATATTGACCTTTTTTATATTTCTACATATCACAACATGTTCATACTGTATGTACACAGCAGTACCGCAGGGTGTAGGGCGCAAATCCACATGACCCCTACATTAATATTGTGCATTTGCCTGGCACTGCGCGGTTTTCATCTCTCTCTCTCCCACTGCGGCTGTGCCAAATTTAACTGGTTTCACAGGTATTTTCAAAGTAGAATAGGGTGAGTCTTCCAATGAAAGACACTCCACCATCCCCCACGAATACATGTTTTCTTAGAAAAATGATTCACAACGCAAAGCTGTGTCAGTCATCTGTGTAAAAAAACAGGTTTGAACACCATTGGTGATGTTTATAAGACGCTGCTGAGTAAAGTCTAGGAATTTTCCTGCTGCATTCATCTGAGCTGCAGATATGATCTAGCTGAGAACAAGAGAGGCAAATTACAATTAAGATGACTCAATAGTGAATTCCGAGGCCAGGATGGTATCTACTGGCCTCTATCTAGTTGTGAGTTGCAGGTGATATGGCTGCTTGTAGGAGGTGAACCTCTTACAATCTAGAGAGAAAAGCCAGTTTCCCCTTATGCTGCAACAGGCCATAAGGAAATATTACAAATATTGTGAGACGTGTACAGTATTTGTCAAACCTGTTCTTCAGTTTTCTGCACTGAGTCTTTTTTTCCCATTTAGGAGGATGGAGACACAATGGCTTGATAGTCTCACTGTGTCTGCACTAACCTGAGCCATCTCTGTGGCTGTGTTCCCCCGAGCCCCCAGATACACCATAGCCAGGGCAGAGGAGATGCTGAGTGGGGAGAAGAAGACATTGCCAGTTCCATTATCAGCACTGAGCCTCTTGAAAAGGTCCAGGGAGAAGCTGGTATGGGCACTGGCCAGCGATGCCATTTTCAATCTCCTGCAGAAACACAAAAAAGAAACAACAGAATTAACGCCAGATATCCTCCATCTGCTGCAGATCCATGTAGCAAAATCATCCCTCTAAACAAAAACTGCTGGAATCTACTTGTATCCAAAGACAGTTTAGGATTATTAGCAATGTTTAAGTTCATTAATGAGGAATATTCTGAGAAAACTTGAATGCACTTTTTAATCAAATCTTGATACATATTTACAATTTTGCACATCAATTTATCAAATTCTATTTTAACTGATTCTCTCTCTATTCCAGTGTCTTAAAACAATTCTTAAATGACAACTGACTGTTCATGTTTCATTTAGAAAACTACTTTTGTCGTCTTTTACATAAAGTGCTTTAAGGCGGTGCACTGAGAAAAACCCAAGCATGAAAACAAAAACTGTATTGAACCTATCAGCCCTTAGTGCACCAAAAAATACACAGAGAAACTGCACGAAAAAGTAATAACTGCACTTGCAATTTACAATTTTATACGCAAGACTCAAATCAATTATCTATGGAAACCCGTTTCCGCCAGGGAGTAAAAAAAAAAACGCGCTATGGTATCTCAGAATTGCGACTTTATATCTCACATTTGCGACTTCGAAAAAGCCATATTTCATTGTCTGTCCTTTTGTTGTTGTAACGGATTCGGGTTCTAGGGCATGTTTCCTCGCCGCTCCCACCCTAGTTCGTGCCTCGCTGCACTGGCTCGAACCCAGGTCTTGCCAGCTGAGCTCAAGAACACTGTCTTTAACCCCGGCGGCCAGCATCCCTGTTATGCGCAGGGGAGGGTGGTGCCGTCACCACACTGCAACCAGATCGTACAACCTGTATGTCGGCCGTTCCGTTACACTATTTTCATGAATCGTACAGGATCATAGGATCTATAAGCCTGAAGACTTGTCTTGCACAGCGCCCTGATAAAAATCAAATCAATTACACTAATTTTTATAGAATCCCATTTCCGCCAGTGAGGCTTCCATAGTACCCGGATGGAATAGTGCACGGTGGGCTTTTTAAAAATAGTTTTTATTTACGGAGACAGAATATGAAATAAGATACAGAAATAGGCACTTCACATCCAGAGGCATTCACAATTATAAAAGCTGAAACATACTTTTTACGTATTTCCATTGCATGTCCTTTTTTAATTAAAAAAGAAGGTCTTTAGCTCAGCTGGCAAGACTCAGGTTCGAGCCAGTGCAGCGAGGTACGAACTAGGGTGGGAGCGGCGAGGGCACAAGCCCTAAAAACCCGAATCCGTTACAATAACAAAAGGACAGACAATGAAATACGGCTATTTCGAAGTCGCAAATGTGAGATATAAAGTCACAATTCTGAGTTGCTAAGTCGCAATTCTGAGATACCATAGCGCGTTTTTTTTTACTCCCTGGCGGAAATGGGCTTCCATAATTATCAAGCAGACTCAAGACCATCCAACTAATGGGCGTTTCTTTTTAGCGCAAAGAAATACAAATAGAAAACAGATTTGAGAAAATACAGAACTGCTCGACACATCAGTCACGTGAAACAACATCTAATGGCTCTTTAAAGTTACAGTAAAATGTTAGTACGTTGCAGAATTACACTCATGTACCAAAACAGATTAATGTAAATAATACCAATTATTATTACTACGCATTCTTATTTACGTATTGTACCATAGAATCAAAGCGGCAATACATGAAAACGAGTGACCCAAACTACCAGAAACAAAGCAATGTGAAGTAGGCTTCCCTTGAATACAGTCAGGTTCGGCTCTTCTGAACACTTACTGTCTGGGTTCAGGCTTTTGCAGTTACTCGGAGGGTAGCAGACGCTGAAATTTCAGCCCTTTACTTTCACACACGCCTATTTCTTTTGTAAACTGCGATTCAGCGTTTTGCTGTATTACACCTGTGTCGACTTTTTCTTCTGCATCAGGACGTTCAGGTGGGAGGAAGACGGGAAATGATTAATGTTATTACGTCGTGATTGTTTCCCGAATCCTTGCTTCTCCCGGCTCAGGTTCTCCATGTGTGTGGTCCTTTTAATTGTTCATGTCCTTGCTGTACTGCGTTTTTTAATTGATGCCGTGTACCGGGATCACTGAAATCACATTTTGTATCCTACCTTTTCGTGCTCTTTTGACTGGCGTTGTTGTGAACTTTTGCACGATTTTTAACCTTCGTTTATCACAACCAGTAGGTCCCTCACCTCTGTCGAGGATGGTGTAGGTGGATTATATTAAGTCATTTTAATGGGAGGGGAGGGAGTAAATATATTTCTCGTGCAAACCATTTGATTGTCTTTATTTATCGGGGTGACGCTGGGGCAGGTTGCGCTCGCCTCCGATATTTCAAGTTCTCCCTCCTTTACACCCGCATTTGTTGGCGGTCGCTCGCAGGCTGAGAGGGAATATTGCTGCTGGTAACAGCAAGCGTCAAGCCGAAAATGTACAAGCTGTATAACGTGTTGTGTGCAGTCCTAGAATTCTTCTTTTTGTTTGGCATTACCCTATCTCTACATTCACGTCTGTGCAAACGGACACACAAATACTTCAAAATACACTTTTCCTGCATTCTGCTGTGTAATTCCAAAATCAATTGTATTCGACGTGTAAGCATACTGCGGTCTAAAAGCTTTTGAGGTTTTTGTGCTTAATTTAAGATTAAACGAGTGACCAACAATAACAGTAACAGTAACCCAACAGTAGATAATTAAGTCTGTCTAGTCATGGCAAATGTATTTCGTTCAATGTTTAAAGAGTCGGCGCAAACCCTATGTACAGTACATGCTTGTGCAGTTTCACGAGTGCTGTCTTTTGCATACCTGAAGTAGAGCACAGTGCGAGTGAGCAATACTGAGTTAAACGCGTTTGTCGTTTTTGTGACAAGTACTGTAGATGGCACGGCTTTCCATACGTGCTGTATGTTATTCTTGACATGAGACTACAGAAACATGTACTGTACATGTAAATTCCTGTAGTCATGAAAGAAAATAAAATATTATATACAGTATGGAAAAACTGTGTATATGTTCCAAAGGTTTGAGGGTAGGCTGCTCATATTCTTGACAAGCCTGGCATGTCAGCACAGCATCTCATTTTTATCTTCTGCATTTCATTGGTTGTTGATGGAATATGGTGATGGGTTAAAAAATAATTATACACTTAACAGGGAAGGTCTAGAAGAAATGCGGTGAAAAAAAATTGTTCAAGTGATATTCACCAATTACTTCAATGCAGTCAGGTTTCACAAGGCATTACTGAAGGTACAGGGACCATCCTGCCTCTGTGAATGGAAGAATAGAACCACTAGAGAGCAGTGATGTTCTAAACTTCTTTTTCCCAGCTTGCACTTCAGTAAGCGCTGACGTCACTATCCTCCACTTTGGGGTCACTCAGATGTGGCATTTGGGATGTTTAGATCTCATTGACCCTTAAGGAGATGCAATAAATTATAAAAGTAATTAAGAGGAGTTTAATCATTTTTTCTCATGTTTGCTTGTGGGGATGATAATACTTGTGAGCATGAGCAGTGTAGCGGTCCCTTCGACACAAAACAAGGAGCAAAATACTGGCTCTGCTGTTAGCCTGCACTACACCGTTCTAAAGATCAGTGGTGAAACCAGAAGACACAAGAGGAAACTATATCCTTGATGAGGCTGAACCTTGGTCAGGCCACTAACCAGCAGAACCAGGGATTCCCCAGATGGGAAAACTGGCAGCATACCAAAAAATCTGGCGGTACGATCCTGTGTGTATGTACATGTACTATATGTATAATGTAAAATGGGCATCTTTTTAAAATTAATTTCCCTTTAAAGATTAGCCAGTTGCATCTGAGTCTCTTGTAATTGTACTCTGAGAGCAGCAAGGAAAACAACTGTGCAGTCAGGGACACACAGACAAAAAACAAATAAGTGACTGTTACAGTCCCATGTTAATTTCATCATGCGATTTATTATTTATATCATTAAAGACAGCAAGACCATCAGGAGAGTCTTCCTGACACAGCAGATCTGTTGCATATTATAATATAGTAGTTGTGTTTATAAGGCACTCAGTTAATTTGAACACACTGTAATCCAATAGAGTTTGGAGCCTGCAGACTATAGAGGTTATTACTGAAGCACTGGCTGCAACTGGATTCTTAGGGAGAGCAGAACCTGCCGTAGAACAGGATGTTTTGGGATTTGTTGTGTCTGATGAAAAACAGGAAGGGGTGATTGGCCGTGAAGCGGGCAGAGATCATGGCACAACGCATCATCATGATGGCTGCGGTGGCGGCGGCAGCCTCGGTGCCCTCCTCGTTGACCTCCACGAAGGACTTGTGCACCACCTTGGACAGAAACAGCTCAGAACCGGAGGACATGCCAGAGAAATCAGACCTCCCACGGTCAAAGGCATCTACCATGCCCATGCTCTTCAGGACCTCCTTGAGATCATAGGTCTCCTCGAACTTGAACTTTGGCAGCGACACCTCTACTTCTTCAACGTCCATCATGTCAGGCTTTGTCCATTCCATCAGCTTCCCATAAGTGAGCTCCCTTTCCAGCTTCAAAGAAAGAACACCAGACCATGAGACTGTTGTAATAATGCAATTTTACAAAAACCCCAAAGCCCTGAACAACACACACACACACACACAGGCAACAGGCAACAGGCAACAGGCAACAGGCAACAGGCAACAGGCAACAGGCAACAGGCAACAGGCAACAGG